ACACATCTCCCAGCTACCCAGTAAGGTGGCTCAGAGAAGGATGGAATGTGCTCTGAGGGACCCTATGATTATGAAAGACTTCCAGGAGAACTAGTACCTCCTCCATGTCGCCCCAATGGTGGCTACCATATAGTAAATCGTGTTGTGCCAAAGGAACCACCACTGCTAGACAACCTGGTGAAGGAAGCTAAGTAGACATTACAGTCATGTTGACTACTGAATAATGATGAAGATCACAGGTTTTCTCATGATCAAAAAAGTGGTCCATCTCACAGAGGAGATGAAACTGGCTGTCCGTGGACAAGAGATGATTGTTCTGCAAACCCACAGCCTGAGTACAGGGACATAAGGGATGGATTTAGAAAAAAAAAAATTCCAGTGTTCCCATTATGCAACACACCAGTCTCATCAAAGGGATGTTCCAGTTTGCAGACAGACACTGGCAGGTGGAAAGGACTCTCCACACAGCAGATATGGTTCTGGAAGTATTTGAAGATGGCACAGAAGTATTTGAAGACAGTCAGCTAACCAATTGTTCTAAAGCAATAGCATCAAAACCCAAAGAGACCAAACAGGTTGACCGACAGGACTGGGAAACATTTGGGATAGTGGTGATTTTTTTTTTTAAGAGAGAGTGAGAGAGAGAGAGAATTTTTTAATATTTATTTTTAAGTTTTTGGCAGACACAACATCTTTGTTTGTATGTGGTGCTGAGGATCGAACCTGGGCTGCACACATGCCAGGTGAGCCCACTAGCACTTGAGCCACATCCCCAGCCCAGTGGTGATTTTTAACAACATAAAGCTTGGGATATTTGCTGCTTGCAAATGATCCTTCATTAGAAAGGCCAACAGAGGTGGGCTGGGGTTCTAACTCAGTGACAGAGCACTTTCCTGGCACATGTGAAACTATGGGTTCAATCCTCAGCACCATATAAAAATAAATAAATAAAAACAGAGGATTTTTGTCCATCTACAACTAAAAATATTTTAAAAAAGAAAAAGAAAAGCCTATAGAGTTTGTATTAAACAGAATTTGCTTTCAATAGATGAGCACTTTGTGGAAGAACTGAAGTAGTTTCACTGCAGAGTATGATATTCTCAAGGCTCTTTTGTAGAGCCTTTTTAGAGGGTTTAGTGCTCAGGCAAAAAATAAAATAAAAACGTCTAGATTCGTTTTCCCCCAATTGTTCAATCCTTAATATATGGAGTTTTTGTAATGAGAAGAAATAATTTATGCTACCTGACTCCATTTTTGTATCAAATAAACATCTAAAACAATCCGATGTAGGCTAGGGCTGGGGCTCAATGGCAGAGTGCTTGCCTTATACATGTGAGGTACTGGGTTCAATCCTCAGCACCACATTAAAATAAAACAAACAAAATGAAGATATCATGTCCATGTATAACTAAAAAAAATTTTTAAATAAAATAAAACAATCTGCTTAAAGTATTTTAATTTGATGTTTTTTGTTTTGGATTTTGTTTGTTTGCTTTTGTTTTATTGTTGATTTTCTGGTTTTTGTTTTTTGTTTTGTTTTGTTGTTTCCATGTACAGCCTAATCTATACCCATCCTTCATCTTTGCCTTGCCCTCAATTACAATTTTTAAGCTTGGACAAAGCAGTTCCAGAGTGAAGCTCTCTGTACTTCTTTCCCATAGTCTTCCATTTGGGCACATGAGTGTAACTTACAGATTAGAGATCATTTCACTCAAATATTACTAGTCTTTTTGCATTTCATAGTGAAGATAGATACCTTGTGGAAATATTGGAATGCTGCGTTGTAGTTTTATTGACTTGTGCTTGCTTTCCTTAGTCTTTGTAACTTTTAATAAGTCAATGTGTTCTATCCTGAGTATTTACGTATCTTAGAGAAGATTTACTTTGAGAATACATCTCAATGATAAAATAGACATCTTAGAACAAAATATTTCTTTCCAAGTAAATGAACTCAATGTGTCTCTTCCAAAATGCTCCTGAAACTTTTGACTACTCTCACTGCTGGGTAGTCTTCAACAGTATCATAAACAAGACTAAAAGAAGGAGTAATCTTAAATGGTCAATAAAGGATATTTTAAAGCTGAGATTTTTCAAAAACACTTCAGATAAATGAAAGAAACATTTAAAATATACAAGAGTTTTATTTATACTTAAGTCCATACTCCCTGTCTCAAACACAAAACAAAAAAGATGATGGATAACATGCTCATGATTAAGCCATTTGCAGAATTACTGTTTTGTTAATTTTATAATCTGATGAGTTTTTGTTCTGCTGACTGTTAGAGGTTCTTAGACCTTTAAGAGAAGTCTTTCATTATTTTTAATTTTTTAATTTGTTCTTTTAGTCATACATGACAGTAGAATGTATTTTGACATATCATACATGCATGGAGTATAACTCCCCACTCGTGGTTTTACATGATGTGAAATTACACTAGTCGTTTACTCAGATGTGAACATAGGAAAGTTATGTCCAATACATTCTACTGTCTTTCCCATTCCCATTCCCCCTTCCTTCCCTCCATTCCCTCCTGTCAAGACAGGTGAGCATCACCCCACCCCCCTGCCACCACCCCTCATTGTCAGTCACATCCACATCTCAGAGATATCAGAGAGAACATTAGGCCTTTGATTTTTGGCTTATTTCACTTATCATGAGAGCCTCCAGTTCCATTCAAGAGAAATTTTGAAAGAAAGAGAGAAGAACAGGCAGTAAGCCCCCCACAGCCAGCCTTACCAAACCAGGCTGGGGCATCAGCCCTTCATTAGTGGACCATTCAAATCACAGGTTAGTTGAAAACCTAACAGGGACCCATTAGGACACTCTACTCATTTTTCTGGTCACTTCCAGTAGCCCAATGCTATTGAGCTAAAATATATAATTTGGTAATATTTTCGAGGAAACCTTAAAAATCATGTTTGTTGTTACTAGCCAATTTCATTATCCTCCCATCTTCTTTCCATTTCCCCTTGATTCTCACTTCAATTCTGGCATTCTTTTTAGTTTTTAGAGTTACCCCAGAGTACATCAAGGATATGCTAAAAGTAGAAATAGAAGTCTGAATAATTTTAATGGTTTCTATCATGGATGCCCCAAAATATATATTATACCATTTCCCAAATTTAAAAACTAATGAAAGACTGGGATTGTGACTCAGAGGGGTAGAGTGCTAACCTAGCATGTGCAAGGCCCTGGGTTCAATCCCCAGCACCACATATAAATAAGTAAATAAAATAAAGGTATTGTGTCCAATTAAAACTAAAAATAAAAAGTTTTTAAAAAATTAATTGAGCCAAGCTTGGTGGCCCATTCCTGTCATCCCAACACCTTGGGAGGCTGAGGCAAGAAGATCACAAGTTAAAACCAGCCTCAGCAACTTAGCAAGACTTTGTCTCAAAATAAAAAAAAATTAAAAGAGTTGTGGATGTGGCTCAGTGGTTAATTGCTCATGGATTCAATCCCAGAACCAACACATACATTTAAAAAAAAAAAAAACTAATTGAGGCTAACATTTACTTTTTAAAGTTTCTCAAGAGAATCTACATTGAATTTTTATTTTTGTCATTGAGATATTGTACATAACTAACTTGTACAACCTAAGAAATGTGAAATCCAACATATTATCCTTGATATTCTTCTTTAATGTGATTGATTTGTTATAATCTTAGGAACATTAAGAAAATACTGATGTTATTTCCCCTTGTCCTCAGTGTTATACTTTTTCCTAAATGTCAAGTCCCAAGATTCAGTTTCTTTAGTCAAGATTTCACAGGTGTGAAGACAGAAACCACAAGAGGCAAAAGACTTGTCCACCTTATTGAAATTCATTAAAAACAATACTCTTGCAGCTGGGGCTGTAGCTCAGTGGCAGAGCACTTGCCTAGCAGGTGTGAAGTACTAGGTTCAATGCTTAGCACCACATAAAAAATAAACAAATAAAATAAAGGCATGAGTCCATTAACAACCTCAAAAAAGAAAAAAGAAGAAAGAAAGAAAACTCTTACTAACAGATACATTTAAATATACATTCAACAAGTAATTTCTTCATCTTCTTTACCTAAGTTACATTCAACATTTAAAGCTCTTTCTCCCTTGCCATCAGCATTATTTCCTAGGCTTGTCAGTATTAAGTTAGAGGGGTTTTTTTTCCTTTTCTTTAATGACTTTTTAAAGTCCAATTATAGGATGAATTCAGATGTGTACCAGAGTATGTATTTCGTTAAATGTTCCGGATGAAGATTTCTTTGTAAATTATCCATTGTTTTTTCAGTATGGCTGACAGATGTGATAAAATTTTCATTTTCTTACCATGAGGACTTTATGATCAACATGGGGAAAGCAGGCATTGTAGAGCTTTTTGTTATATTAAATGTGCAATTTAAAGCAATCAAGTTTAAATTTAAATATACATGTGCGTGTATGAGTGTGTATGTGTGTGTGTGTGTGTGTGTGTGTGTGTGTAAAACTTATAAAAGTAACAAAAATACCACAGTAGGAAACTAGGTGAGCAACATGGCATCCTGCTGTATAACCATTAAGATGACAGGTACAGCCAGGCACAGTGGTACACGCCTGTTATCCTCGCAGATCCAGAGACTGAGACAGGAGGATTGTGAGTTCAAAGCCAGCCCCAGTAACGGCAAGGTGCTAAGAAACTCATGAGACTCTGTCTCTAAATAAAATACAAAAATTGGGCTGGGGATATGGGTCAGTGGTTGAGTGCCCCTGAGTTCATACCCTGGTACAAAGAAAGAGAGAGAGACAGAGAGAGAGAGAGAGAGAGAGAGAGAGAGAGAGAGAGAGAGAGAGAGAGATATGACAGGAATATGTGTCATGTCCATTTTGTGAAAAGTATACATAAAATAATTTTATTTTAAGTGAAAAAGATTATTAAAAATAGTGAAAGTACACAAAACAATTGAATAAAAAGAAAGGGTCTGGGGCTGTAGCTCAGTGGCAGAGTGCCTGCCTAGCATGTGTGATTCACAGGTTCAATCCTCAGCAAAAACATTAAAAAAAATCAATAAACTAAGGTATTGTGTGTCCCACTACAACTAAAAAACTATTTTTTTAAAAAAGAAAGAATTAAAGAAACTCAAAAATCACAGCTGATTTTAAGCTGTACAAAAACAGTTGTTTCCCTTTCTTTATACTTGCTCGACTTCATAAAGAGAATTTAAACAATATTGTGACTTTATTTTCCTATAGAATAATTCTCAGAACATCCCAATCTCTGTCTTCAAACATAATAAAAAATAAAATAAAATAAAATAAAAACACCTTAAACAGAGACAAATCACTAAGCAGTTCCTGTTCTGCACACAGCTCCAAGGGCGTAGCCCCTAACCACTAGAAAAAGAAGGAAGTTCCAAGACATTAAATACTGGGACCAGCTTCCCTAGCTCAGCCTTGTGGTCTGACTTCCCCATCAACATGAAGGCTTTTCTGATTCTGGGGCTTCTTCTCCTTTCTGTCACAGTCCAGGGCAAGGTCTTCGGAAGGTGCGAGTTGGCCAGAGCTCTAAAAAGATTTGGAATGGATGGCTACCACAGAATCAGCTTGGCAAACTGTAAGTTGGGTCTTCCTCTTTGTTTTTACAATGGTTGAAAACATCATTTTGGTCCTCTAGAATTAGAGACAGCAGGTGAAGGGATGTGGGCATGGGAGGGAAAGATTCTATACCATTCTAACAGGACCTGATGTCCTCTGCTAGTGCCACTAGGTGGGCAGTTGCCTCAGATTCAATGCCCCACGTACACTGAAGGACCTGTTTGAAACTCGGGTTCTCAGCCTAGAGTACACAGTTATTTTTCTTTTTTAGAAAATTATTCTGCCATGCCAGCCACCATGGCCCACATGTGTACTCCCAGCAACTCTGGTGCCTAAGGCAGGAGCATCTCAAGTTTGAGGCCAGGATGGAGACCTTAGTGAGACCCTGTCTCTAAAACCCAACATATTGAGGATGTAGCTCAGTGGTAGAACGCCCTGGGTTCAATCCCACAAAAGCCTACAAAACAAACCCCTTACTATGACAGCGTATGTTTCATAGCAAAATCTTCCAAAATTATGTTGGATTCTCCAGAAAAAGGTGGTAGGACCTCTCATTCCCCACCCCGTCACTATTTATATAAAGATCTCTATAACTCGGGGCTGAGATTGTGGCTCATGGGTGGAGTGCTCGCCTAGCATGTGCAAGGCCCTGGGTTTGGTCCTCAGCACCACATATAAATAAATAAAATAAAGGTATAAAAAATCACATAAAAAAGATCCCTATAACCAACATGAAATGATTTATAATTCATTTTAAGTTGATTAATTTTCAATTTCTTCAACAATATTCAAACATGCCATGACAAATAGTTACTTTACAGCATACTTCATATTCTCCAATCTCTGTACTTTTCAGATTGACCTCAAATATTTCCCTTCCACAGCTATTTGTAAATGAATGAGCAAGTAAGTACATGAATGGGTGGTTGAACAAAATCACAGAATAGTCTTTCCTATTCCATAATTCTTGGTTTCAAGATTCAAATTTAACATCCAAATTCACCTTTAGGTATTACAAGAAAATCTCTCTCAGAAAAATCCTTAATTGTTTCTAATAAAGCATTTTCCCATCAGCCTATGTATCTGCTTTGAATTTGTACAACCTTCTCAATAGCTCATTTTCTGTTCTAGGCTCAATGCTGTCTGAGAGATGAGAACAGGGGAAGGCAAAAGCAGTGGAAAAATAGCAATTTAAAGATTTTTAAAAGTACCTTATCTTGCTTCACATCTTTATAAACTGATTTGTGCTACAAAAGGATACGCCTAGGGACCCTCTATAACAAAGGTGTTGAGGCAGGCAGGCCTGGTGGCTCTGACCTATAGTCCCAGCTACTTGGGGAGCTGAGGTGGGAGGATCACTTGAGCCCAGGAGACCACCCTGGGAACTCAGTGAGACCCTGTCTCAAAACAACAAAACAACCCTAACCTGTTACCATATTTAATGAATTAAACGTATATTGTACTTACAAAGTAAGTCTCTAGTAAAATACAATTAGTTGCATAGAATTGGTTTTGATACACAGTATATGAATCAGTTGGTGTTGCTATTTATTACAAGAAACAATTTCTTTTCAGGGGTGTGTCTGGCCAAATGGGAGAGTAGTTACAACACCAGAGCTACAAACTACAACCCTGGAGACCAAAGTACTGACTATGGGATATTCCAGATCAATAGCCACTACTGGTGCAATGACGGCAAAACCCCAGGAGCAGTTAATGCCTGTGGTATATCCTGCAATGGTAAGACTAGATAATATTTGAGTGATGGCACAAGAACTACCTGCATACATTTACAAGAACAGACATTCAAACGAATCAAATAGCCTTGTAAGGGTTTGTCAGGGAGCTAGAAAAAAATCTGTCTCAACTTCTAGAAAGTGATTGTTATCCTCAAAATTCCCTGTATAGAAACCTAGGTCTGGGGATTTAGCTCAGTGGTAGAGTGCCTGCTCATTTATTGTTAACGGCCTTATTAAAGCTTTTCCAAAACTTTGCCATTCCATGTATTCCCTGAGAATGGCTTAGGGATCTTTTGATTGTGTGGTCCTTTTGATTGTTTTATGAGTTATTATGAAAGGTCCTACGTATGTAGAAAGTTAGATTTTCATATAATGGATGGCTACATTGACTTAGCATATTGTACACTTTCAACAATAATTAACATCTTTCCATAGATTCTTCTTGTATGTATGTGTACATTTTGCTGAGAGATTTTAAAATGAATTAGAAATGTTGACATTTTATTTCTTTTTTTTTAAAGAGAGAGTGATAGAGGGAGAGAGAGAGAGAGAGAATTTTAATATTTATTTTTTAGTTATTGGCGGACACAACATCGTTGTTTGTATGTGGTGCTGAGGATTGAACCTGGGCCGCACGCATGCCAGACGAGTGTGCTACCGCTTGAGCCACATCCCCAGCCCCTTGACATTTTATTTCTAAATCCTCTAGCTTGAATCTCCAAAATATACAATTCCTAAATAATCATTAACACACCTAAAACATTACCTTATGTATTTATGTACTTGGGATGAAACATTGTGTTTTAATAAGAAAAAGAACTCACAAGGTGCATTACATATATAAGGTATGGGAGTACTAGACTCCTGAGCTCATGAAAATAGAAATAGCATGTAAAAATTTTAGTGTATAAAATATTGCATACATATTGGGCTTGATATTTTTTTTTAATATTTATTTTTTAGTTCTTGGCGGACACAACATCTTTGTTGGTATGTGGTGCTGAGGATCGAACCCGGGCCGCACTGCATGCCAGGCGAGCGCGCTACCGCTTGAGCCACATCCCCAGCCCTGGGCTTGATATTTTTTAAAAATTTTAAATGTTAAAATTCCCAAGGGAAAATCAATTTTAGAATTTTATTTTTAATCTAGCTAATTTACCTAAAATTATTTGTATTACATAATAATCTATGATCATTGAATAACATGTAGCAAATAAAAGCAAGATGAAATAGCATCCGTAGTCTTACTACCCAGAGATGTATAAGCATGGATACTCTTTCAGAATCAACATGTATATAAATGTAAAGTTATATCAAACACATACATAGCCAGATACAAATATGTTTTTGCAAAAATTAAATTTTATTACATATCCTGCTCTACAATTTGCACTTATCACATACAAATCTGTTATTATTATTTGAAAGGGTGAAGAGAATTCCACTATTAGGTTGTTTCCACTTTTCCCTGTCATGAATTGTTACAAATGGCTTTATGGATACATGTGTAGAGTTTTGATACATTCTCTCTCTCTCTGTCTCTCTCTCTCTCTCTCTCTCTCTCTCTCTCTCTCTCTCTCTTTATAAAATTCTTTTTCATTTCTGTGATTTTTTTTGCCACTGAGCCATATCCCCAGATCTCTTATTATTTTGGGGGGATAAATCATCAATGGTAGAATTCCTGAGTAAAAAATTTCTGAGCATGTCTTTTTTTTCACAGTGTGCATAGGGGCCTTTCTTCCATATTACTTAATCATTCCAGGGGTTAGGGTTGTGGCTAGCAGCAGAGCAGTGACCTAGCACGTAAGAGGCCCTAGGTTCGATCCTCAGCGCCACATAAAAATAAATAAAATGAAGGTATTGTGTCCAACTACAACTAAAAAATGAATATTTTAAAAAATAATAATTCCAACAACTTTAGTAACTGAGAAACAATGTGTTATTTCATGTCAACAAGGAAAAGAATTAAAAGGAAGTTATCCACAACAATCAGAGATATATAAATTCTTGGAAAAGAACTTCTTGGTTATGCTTTCCTCTGCCTAACATAATAAAACTGGCTAAGTGTAAACTTCCAATGAAATTGCTAGAACATCCTTTTCATGCCTCACCACCTCTCTTCCAGCTCTGTTGCAAGATGACATCTCTCAAGCCGTAACTTGTGCAAAAAGGGTTGTCCGTGATCCACAAGGCATTAGAGCATGGTATGTTTTAAGGTTTGAAAGGGGAAACTGTTTTACCCTGCTGTTGATATATGCAGTGAGAGAAAAAAAAAATTCAAAGACCTAAGTGTCCTTCTGAATATAAAGTTGTCCTTTGGGGCCTAAGGGACACAATGTATTACCTCCATCAGAAGAGACAATCTGCTTGAACTGATTCACAGTCTTGCCTATTTACTCCTCATTGATTTTAGGAATTTCTAAATATTCTCCACACTGTACTAGTTCTTTCATATCTTTATTTTTGTGTGTGTGGGGGGGGGTGAGGTATATAAGGGATAGAACCAGGGACACTTAATCATTGATCCACATACCCAATCCTTTTTTTTTTTTTTTGACTAATGAGAATTTTTTTAATTTATTTTATTTATTCTAATTTGTTATATATGACAGCAGAATGCAATTCAATTTATATTACACAAATAGAGGACAATTTTTTTATGTCTCTGGTCGAATACAAAGTAAATTCACACCATTCATGTTTTCATATATGTACTTAGGATAATGATGTTTGTCTCATTCCACCTTCTTTATTACCCCCATTCTCCCTCCCTTCTCCTATCTCCCCTTTGCTATATCTAAACTTTGTCTATTTCTCCTATGCCCCCCTCTACATCCCCATTATGAATCAGGTTCCTTATATCAGAGAAGACATTTGGCATTTAGTTTTTTGGGCTTGGCTACTTCACTAAGCATTATATTCTCCAAATCCATCCATTTATTTGCAAATGCCATGATTTTGTTCTCTTTTATGCTGAGTAATAAATATTCCATTGTGTATATATGCAACATTTTCTTTATCTATTCATCTACTGAAGGGCATCTAGATTGTATCCACACTTTAGTTATTGTAAATTGTGTTGCTATAAACATCCTCAGTTTACATCCACAGGACTTAAAAACAGCATACTAAAGGGACACAGCCCCAGTCCTTTTTTATTTTTTATTTGGAGACAGAGCCTCACTAAGTTGCTAAAGCTGGCTTTGAACTTGCAGTCCTCCTGAGCTACAGTTACACGTATGCACCCCATGTTGGCCTCCTTGTCATATGTGAAACTACTTTTGCTATAAATAAATGTTCCATGCACATAACTCAGCATTTGTGTTCAGCATTCTGTGCCCTATGGGTCCCTCTGAGGAGCAGCAAAGCACCTTGTATACTCATCTCCACTTAATCAGTAGCAGTATCTAGGTCTAGTTGTAGCCTGTATGATATTTTTGGATAGGAACTTTTGTTCCCACAAAGAGATTTAAGTATGTACACTGCAATGCAGATATGTTTTAACCTTTGCTTGTGTTTCCCTTTTCTCTGCAGGGTGGCATGGAGAAACCATTGTCAAAACCGTGACCTCACTCAGTACATTCAGGGGTGTGGAGTGTAACTGCAAAATTTTCCTTCCTTCTTCAGTTCATTTTGTCACTTTGCCACATTAAGGGACACACTGCCACTAGTGTAATGTGTCACACTACCATTGTTTCCCCTTCAAACAAGTAGCATTTTTACAGAAGCAGGAACAAAATATAGCCTTTCTCCTAAGAGCCATACCTTTCATAATTTGTGTTTTACTTAATAGTAACCCCCCATTTTCAGCTTACTAATAAAGCTAATGGTGGTGAAAACTTACCTACAACCTTGATTATCAAATAATCTACAGTACATTCAGTTTTTATTATAGATATAATCAAGACTTAATCTTAAATGATACGAGTATTTCCCAGTATCAGACAATAATACAACAACAGGCTATCTAAAAACCCATGGAATTTAGGCAAAATCCAAGCTGTATAGCATCTATATAGTCATCTCCAAAAATAGGAAAAATAACCACTCTTTTGGGCAATATAAAATTCTTAGAGGCGTGGAAAGCCCACCCTTAAAAGTGAAGACTGACTGAAGGAAGAATGTGTTTGCACAAAGTGTGTGACCTTCTGTTTAAGAATTTTCATAAAAAAAGTTCCATTTATGCAGCTTTACAAACAGACTCACAATTTATATATCAATCTGTTTTAAGCTTTGAAAGAACACTTACCTGCATCTGACTGATCATGAAGCCATTAAGGAGGGATTAAATGGGCTGTTGCTATTCCCCAATTTTACTAACTTAAATTCATGCATTTCATCTAAATCTGAGACAGATAAGCTTGCATTACTAATTAACCACAGGAGTGAAATTATGCATACTGTAAAAATACAAATGTTATCATTAAATGGTTGCATTGCATATTTTGTCTGTCCTTGTTTAGACCCATTTGGTGTCTGGAGAAAAAAAATCACATATATTAGAAAAAGAGAAAAGAAAGAACTTGGTACTCTTAATGTCTTCTATATCCTCACCTGCACTGAAAGCTGGCAATGGCTGGAGGAAAATCCACAAGCAGGCTAATAAACCTTACTTTGAATCCATAACCATGAGTCTCATATGGCCTCAAGTCATCATGGTCACCTCAGTCACTTCTCTGGATTCTTCCTGTGTTGTCCCGCTCTCCAAAACAACTATGATTATTTCACTTCTCCCATTCTTTGTTGAGAGCCCAACACACACATCTGACACCCTCTCTGCCCCCTAACCTTCCACCATCCTCTGCTCTTAGCAGATAATCTTTGCTTATATATACCATTAAAAAAAAAAGCCATTTCAAAGAAGCACTACAAGGTTCCCCCCCTGACACAAAGCAGCAGTCACACCTTCCCCTCACTGATCCTTCCTTCCCTCCCACTGTTTCTGGGATGAAGGGCCTTTGTTCCTGGCAAAGGCAGCATCTCCACAAGCAGCCTCTGTCCCATGCCTCACAACTCCCAGCTAGGCTGAGTTTCTCCCTCTTTGCTCCATCACCTCCATCATTGTGCAAAGGGCCCCCCAGCATTCTCCCATCCTACAAAAACATTCCACTGACCCTACACCACTCTCCAAGTACCACCTCAGCCTCTGCTCTCTATGGCGAGACTTCTAGGGGAGAAGCCCATCCCCACCTCCCATCTCTCTTCAGCTCTCACTCAGCTACCTCTGCTGCCCTAGGACTTCTCCCGTGTCTTCTGGGAGCAATTCCAGAGATCATCTGCTCTTCCTACTTGATCTCTCATCAGCATTTAGCTGAGTGAACCACTTCATATCACTAGAAGATTTTTCTCTCTCACCTTCTTGCTTACATCCGACTTCACAGGCTGCTCCTTCTCAGTTCCTCTTTTCTATTCTCTCTCTGCTATTTCATTCCTTTTTAATATTTTTAGTTGTAGAGGGACACAATACCTTTAATTAGTTTATTTATTTTCATGTGGTGCTGAGGATAAAACTCCGTGTTTCCCATGTGCTAATCAAGGGCTCTACCACTGAGCCACAGGCCCTCTGCTATTCCATTACTGAATGTGTGAATGTCCCAGGGCTCAAGCCCATAACCATTTGATATGCAAAAAATTTTACTTATTTATTTATGGTGTCCCCTCTTGTCCACGATTTCAGTCTCCATTGTTTCATGGTCAACTGTGATCCAGAAATATTAAGTGAAAGTTCCAGAATGAAACAATATATTTTGAATTGCATGCCATAGGAAGTAGTGTGATGAAATCTCCCACTGACCTGCTCTGTCTGCCTGAAGCATAAGTCATTTTTTTGGTACACCTACCCTATATTATATCTTGATCATTACTCATTTAGTAGCCAACTATGCTGTGAGAGTATCAATGTGCTTATGTTCAAGTACTCCTTATTTTACTTAATACAGTAATTGCTCTATTTAAGTTTTAGTTATTGTTAATTTACTGTCTAATTTATATATTTTTAATTTACTAATTAAACTTTGTCATTGGTTGCCAATAAAATAAAAAACACAGTACATACAGGGTTCTGTACTGCCTGTGGTTTCAGATAGCCACCTGGGGTTTTGGACTATATCCCTTAGGAATAAGGGACAACTATTGTATTAATATATCCTCAACAAATTATAACTTCAAAAAGGATAGTTTTTCCACTTTAAAAGCATTGAATTGGGCTGGTGGGCACAATACCTCAGTGGTAAAGCAGCTTCGCTAGCAGGCAGGAGACCCTGGGTTTGGTCCCTAGTACCACAATAAAAGAGAAAAAGAGAGAGAGAGAGAGAGAGAGAGAGAGAGAGAGAGAGAGAGAGAGAGA